ACCCTAGACATCAAAATCTACAGGCTTGCAGCAAGGTGCAACAAACTACACAGATTTCCAATAGTTTTGCACAATGCTTTACATCAGAAACAACCTACCGTTGCTGAAACAAGGCACCTCAAAAAACAGTATGTTTTCATTCAACTCCCAGCTGATGTTTCAGGGCTGTGTTGAAGAGCACAAAAATGGTGTGTTGCTTTTGCATTGTCACTACCACAGTCTGCTATTATGGTATGAAGATATAATCGACTATTCATTTATGTTATTACAGTAATTAACATTGGGGTTTGTTAAGAAATTATATGATATGCCTCAATGAATGAAAGACTTACAGTACTAGTGGAAAGCTGCCTACTGATTATTATCAATACTTGAATAAAATAATATGTATGATACTAATGGGATATATGGTATTTATTACATATGAATGATAATTGTAAGCTTATATTGTGTCTGAGATTCATGATTGCTTGTATCTTGTATCTGGTGTTTTTAAGAGTAAACTCATCTCTGCAACTTGACCTGTTAGTGCTAAGATGCATGGTGAATTTTTAGGGCATTTCTCTTTCAAAAAATGTTTTAGCATACAGGAAACAGTATGTGACAATAAATCAAGACTCATAATAATAAAAAGATCAAGTAAAATTGGCAGTGTAGGATTTCAGTTGAAAACTTCACAAAAGATTTTTAAATCCATGCAGTTTATGCTTTCTTGTATCTGCAGTGTCCCTGCAGGACATTGGCAGTCATGTTTTCCTACAAATTCCTACCCTTTGTAGCTGTTAGCAGTATTTGTCTTTTTACTATTCCTATTCTGTTATCCATTTATACAAGCTCATTAGGTTAGGGTACTTGCTGTCCCACTTGTCTTCAATGTGTCCTGCTGGTGTAAGCCTTTGTTCCTCATTTAATCACAAACAAGGTAATGAAACCACTATGACACAAGTGGTTACTGAAAGTGAAAGAAATTGAGAAAATGTTATTGAGAGAAAGGACAATAAAAGAACAGGATTCAGGGGAAATAGATGATGATGATAATTGACATTGCATTGAAATATTTTAAAGGTTATACTTTACAGGAAAGCAAGAAGCCAAAAGAAAGTTTCACAAGCAAGAAGTATGAGAGAAGAAACTGTTAGCATGGTGCTTACAGTTACATCTAGCCATTTCAACAGTAAAATGATGACACCTATCTGCCAATCTAGTACTGTGTTTAAATTTGGGAAGTTAAGGTACAAAAGAGGTAAGTTCATCAGAACAATTACCATGAAAATATTTATAGAAAAGGTAAAGAGAAGCTCCATTATGGCAGTAGGAAAGTGATTGAAGCCAAGATACTAGGTTAGGACCAATAACATTACAGATTCTTCTTTGGATTCTGTGAAGAATTTCTAGATATACAGCAGAAACTCCAGACCCAATCAGATTGAGTAGAAAAGTTCACAAGGAAAATGAAAAGTGAAATTAATGCCACAATGAGAAACATAAAGGTGAATCAGGTTTTCTATATATTTGGTTGTTTATTTAGGGATTCACTTGTACAATCTTGGTAGGGTTTAGATAGAAGACAACTGCTACTTATGTCATGCCAGATGAATGGCTCAACATTTCCCTTTGACCAGCAAAAGGCTCTCTCCTATCACCCCTCTGCCCATCTCTACCTCATGACATATGGCTTGCAACTTACCTATAACTGACTTGAATCTACCTACTAACTAGCAGTATGGAACTAATCTGCTATTTCTATCTGTGACTTTGCTTATATAAACCTGCAAGTGGAACTTCCTAACAGCAAAATGACGCTTAATCCTCAAAGATTTATCTATCTTCTGTATTTCTTTCGATCAATTGGTGGTTGCTTTAAAGATCTTTCTTTTAGGCTTTACTGATAGTCATAAAAACACCAGTTACTTCAGACAGATAAAATCATTTAGGGTCCTCTTGATTTCATGTGTGTTCTAACAATAGCCAGGTTCTATTATGTCACATATAAGAGTTTATCACTGCTTCAAAGCAAAACCTGAATTTAAAATTGTAATGGAAAATGTTTTTATGAGACCTGTATCTATCCATTTTAAATCTATCAAGAACTAAGGTGGGAGACCTCAATATAACATGGCAACACATAAGAGGTGTGTTTACTGCACATGCATAAGCTGACACTCTTCTATAGAGTTACTTAGTAGTAAAATGCTATAAAATTTAAAAGTTGCAAGTTTGTGTGTATTGTAGGTGTGTGTGTGTTCATATATAAACAATCAAAGAAGAAGCATACAAAAACTTGGGTTTCTATTACAAACCATTTATTCTCCTTTTTTATATAATCTGTAGTGAAACAAAGTTCTCAATGTCTCTTGGGTATGTCTGTTTTCTTTTTCTGGTCCAGAAGTTAAGGTAAGTAAGGATAAGCATCATTATAATGGCTGAGATTAAGTCAGCCTTGCACTGAGTTGGAATGACCAAAGAAAAGGTTGATTTACTTAATATGTAGTGATTTTGGAAGACATGTTGGAAAGTGGAAAAAGAGTTCAGTTGTCAGTGGACTGGGTAAATGAATGTATCTTAGTGAGGACATAATTTGCATGTAGTGCTACATCTTGGAGTGAGAGAGAGAGAGAGAGAGAGAAGGAGGAAAATGTTTGTCTTTTTATAGACTTCAATAGTGCCACCTAACAGCATTTGATGAAGCCAAGTGGGGTAATAAAATTTCCAGTTCCTTTACTATTAGCATCATGGAAAAATGTATTTCTTTTTCATTTTTTTTTTTATTAATATTTATTAGTTTATTCATTGATTTTATTTCATTCCTCCACCCTAATGCCATTAAGCCTGTCTACTTTGTGACTGTCACATTTATAATTAAATTTCATGCTGGTTATCTTTTATTATTTTTTTTTTATATTTTGGGAAAGCATTGTATCCTGCAGGTCTGTTAATCCCGTTAAATTCTGGATTTGGATTATTGTAATCAGGCTTTTGCCAATGTTAAAATTATTGAAAGGGAAGAGATTTCAAAACTTGAATGGCAATAGCTCAATGGATTAAAGCATTGGTTTATGATTTTGGTGGTATAATAATTGTGAGTTCAATCCCTGGGCTGGGCAGTGCAGACTTAGATTCAATGGTAATAAGGTGAGCCATAACTGGACAATACTAAATAAGAACTAGACAAGATATCCCTAGACATGGTCAGTGGAATGAGAACAATCTACCCTGTAAGATTAAATAAAGGCTTCAGTGCAAAATTTTCTGAAAGTTGCCCAATGAAGGGTGTAGGGCACAATGGCTGAAACATTGTGATAACAACAACAAAGATGAAGGCACTAGCCCACATGTAAATAAGATGTAAAGAGAATATAGTAAGGTATCTTATGGCAAGAGAAATTTAAAGACTATTTTGGAAAATGGAGAGGACACAAGATAAATATATCAGATTCTCTAGGGCAAACTACAGCCTGTGGGCCACATCCAGCCCGTTAGTCTTTTTAATCTGTTCTGCCAAAGATTGACAGAATTATGACTGCGTTCATTTGACCTTGTCCTGTAATACCTGGTATCCTACTAGGTGGCACATTCGCCTTATTTCCAAGTGCCACTTATGTGCATGAACAGACTTTTAGTGTGATGAACACCAATAAAGCCCCCCACAGATCCCTGTTGAGTGATGAACACCTCAGATCTGTTCTGAGACTTGCCACAACAAAACTAACACCAGACTTTGATGCACTGGCAAAAAAGGGTGATCAACAATACTGTTCACACTAAAAGTGAATGTAAGTATTAACACTTTAATACTTTTTTCTGTTTATGTTTGATGTGCATGAATCTGGTGTTGGCCCAGCCTGTCTGTCAATTTTTAAGTCAGTGTTGCCCCTGAGCCAAAGAGTTTGCCCACCCCTAGTCTAGTCACTCGATTTAAAATTCCAATCACCTGAAGAAGGCTGGAGTGTACAATGGCTGAAATGTTGTAAATATGGCAATGACTATGAGGATAACAGTTCGAATAATGTAAATAATCCTAATGCCTCATCTCAGAGATATAGACAGATACCTAATTTGAATATTGGAAAATATAATAAAAATTAAACAGATAGACCTTGTTGTTATTTTTAAATCAAACTTGTCTGGATATATATAGTTGTGTATTTGCACAGTAATTCCTCTTTTATATAAGTTTTATTAAAGACAACTGATAAGGTACTGTGCTTAAGTTTTTTATTCAATTTTTCTTATATTTTCTTTTCTGGGGATAAAGGGTGTAAAAATGTTTATAGCACATTTGGACAGTTTTAAAACGATTTATGTCCAGAGAAGTAAATACTTGTACAAATGCAAGAAAAAATATATACAGGTTGTTTGGCTCTACTTATGTGCATGAATGACTTTTAGTGTGATGAACACCAATAAAGCACCCCACAGATCCCTGTTGAGTGATGAACACTTCAGATCTGTTCTGAGACTTGCCACAACAAAACTAACACCAGACTTCAATGCACTGGCAAAAAAGGGTGATCAACAACACTGTTCCCACTAAAAGTGAATGTAAGTATTAACATTATAATGATTTTTTCTATTTATGTTTGATATGTATGCATCAAGTGCTGGCCTGGCCAATCTGTCAATTTTTAAAAGTCACTGTGGCCCCTGAGCCAAAACTTTACCCACCCCGACTCTAGAGTGTCCCATGAAGGTGACTAAGTTGCCATTGCCCTAGGTAGGTTAATTTTTCATTAAGATTAAATAGTTTGATACTTTCCAAACAGATCTTGTACAAATTTCATTCCAATGTTTTGTTTTTCAGTTTTAACACTGTTGCTGTTGTGTACATACTTATACATAAATAAAAGACAAAAGGAAAACTTATATTTACCAACACACTTTGTCACCTGATGAACCTTATAAAGGCTAAATCTAGAGAATTTTATTTTGTAACTTGTATTTATATATGGAAGTAAAATGGAGGAAAAATATCATTAAGCTTTCAAATTTTAAAGCTTACAGCCACATCTCATTGAAATACCAATTCCCGTACAATCACCAAAGTTAAGCAATGTCAAGCCTGGCAAGTACCTAGATGGGTGACCACTTGGGAATACTAGTTGCTGTAAGCTTGGATGTGCATGTGGTATAATGGCTCTGAATTTTTAATCGGAGAGTTGAGTTTTAATTCCAGTTGGGATCATTATATTCACTTACTTGCATATAGCCTTGAGAAAGGTATGAATCTACTTCTTCTCCTCTCAGCTATGGATTAATTAGTAAGCGTTGTATCCGTAACTCATTATCTCCAAAAAATAAGATAATTCTTACAATCTAAAATATTTTCTAGCTTTAAATAACTTGAAAAGGATTGATAAGCTGTAGAAAACGAGTCAATTAATCAATCTTATCAAATTTTAAATTTGAGAACACTCTAAAATATTTTTGATGCTAGCTGTGTAAAGAAAAGTAAACTATGGAAGCTGCTAAGTGATGTAATTTATTGCCTTATAAATGAAAGTAAGTAAATGTTGTTGAACATTTTTTTATGTAATTATTATTTTACTTTTATTTTGTTTAATTATTTATGTATTAATTTATTTATTTTAAATATCTAAAGGTCTTGAGTTAACCATTTCCTTTTAATTTTAAAATTTTTTTATGGTCATATAAGTTGGCTTGGGAAAGGAGTATTTCCTTTACTTAAACATTTTTCTTTTTTTTAAAAAAAATCAATTCAATCCAAGCAAAGTGATAATGCCAGTAAGATGCAAAGGGTTACTGAGAATAAAAGAGAAGGAAAAAACTTTAGAAGGAACCAGAAACTCAATTCTAAACAGGAAACAAGGGATAAACCTCTACTCCTATTCAAAAGATGGAAGAAATGTTAACCAGGTGATAGGTGAATCTATCTACTTCTATACAAAAATTAAAATTATCTGTTGTTGATGTATATATACATTTTCAAGATATACATCTCTATGAAACTTTTTGCATGTAAATGAATATGAAATCTCTTTGCATGTTAGTGAAACCCAACAAACCCAATAGGAATTAGAATTCAGCACTAAAATGAACAATTTCCAGCCATTATCCATTACATCACCTGCACATCCAAGCTTACAGCATCTGGTATTTCCAAGTGACCACCCATCAAGATAATGACCAGGCTCAACATTCCTTAACTTCAGTGATAAACTCTTATATGGGTGCTTCCCTGAGCACTTCAATTTTGACTTCAAAAAATCAAGTCAGTCGTTATCTTATCCTTGTAATCTCCACTTCCTACCACCACCCATTCATATCTCATGCTTCATTTATTGTTACCATTTCAACTGACATTCTCTACCTTGAGTGGTTCTCAAGCCTTGTATTAGGCAAAATTTTTAGTAAAAAATAATACAGTAGAGAAAATGTTAAATAATATCAATAATTTTGTTGGCAAAAGTGAGCTTAAACCATTAGTTTGAACATTGATCTGGAATCTATGGATTGGGTCTTTTTTATTATTTTCATTTTTTCCCTGAATTCTTTTAACTAAAAATTTCATATTAGAAGAATGTCTGTCTTGCACTCTTAGACCAAACACCAAGTTTTGCACAGACTTGTTCACTGATTCAAAAATATTTTTGGTAATTTTATCAGAGATAACAGTTTTTTGACATCAAATCTTTTTATGTATAAAGAAAGATTTTATCTTTAATGCAATAATTACCAATGATAAATATATATAATTTGCTTTAAACTGAAAGAATTATGATTTTTCTTGAAATTAAAAATTCTTTTTTTAGAGGTAACCTAAAAAGAGAAAAAAATTAAATATTTTTTTTACTTACAAAAATCTTTTTAAAGTTAATTTTATAGTGAAAGTAATTTAAGAAATTAAACAGAAAAACAAAAATGTTTCGTAATGGATTTTTGGGTCATAATATCAGTAAACAGTCATAGAATGTTGGAAACTTTAAACTTTTCCTGCTGCACAGAACTTAAGTTAAATTTCATTCCAGTCTGATGAATGAACGTAGACTCAAATTACCAGTAAACTGCTGAAATCAACTACAATGAAATTATCCACATTATTTTGTTTTGAATCTGTCAATGATTTCTAGGATGTGCAAATAGTATAACAGTTATTGGCACAAGATATGAAATTGTTGCATTCACTTTCACACTAATGCCTTTGGTAATAGCATAAATCTATCTCTTCACCCCACTTCCAGCTATGGGTTAGATTAGACTCTATAGCCTTGGATAAAAAAAAAGGCAATCTAGGAGAAGGATTATTCTGAATTCAAAACCATGGAGAAGGCAGCACAGTGACCACCTCACAAAAGTTGTATATGAATAATGTTTCATGGCTGGAGTGAACAAAGTAGTTATAAAATGGAAATGTGTATGGATATATGGAAAGTTGAGAAAGATATAACAGAAAAAGAAACCTAATAAAATGGTTAATTAGAATGTATAAAAAAATGCTTGTTTAAGGCTTTGAGAATGGAATTGGTAAAAGCCAAAACCTCTATTCCTAACTTAATAGGTGAGCCAAAGGTGGAGTAATTGGATTGAGGAATCAGAGAGCCAAGTTCAAATTCCAGTCAAATCCATTACAATCACTTACGTGCTAATACCCTTAGAAAAGGTATGAATCCTCTTCTCTCTCCAGCTATGAGCAAATAGCAGGATAGACCAGGTTCTATAGCCTTGGATGGCAACTGGTCTACCGCAGAAAGAAATGGCAACCTACTGTGAGAAAAATCTGCCTCGTCACTCATGTATCGTAAGATACGTGATCGCCTCAGCATGTATCACACATGGCGCATAATTGAACTGAACTTAATAGGTTGTATATGTGACAGAAACTTCAAATGACCGAGTGAGCTAAAATTATCTAAGTTCTAAGTTGGATCAGATCATTCCTCCTTTCACAATGACTAAAAGTTGTTCTGCAAGATAGTTTGTCATCTTGGCAAAAAATCATTATGGATGTCACATAAGGATCCATTTTCTTGATTTATGTAAATGAGGTCACTGATATGATCAAATCGACTACTAAATTATTTTCAACAGATGAAACCAAACTACTATCTTTTCAGCCACCAATCTGTGTGAAGTATACAAAATGCTGCATGGTGATTATAAAATGGAAGTGAACAATTTCTTTCCCTTCATACAAGGCAAAGTTCTAAGTTGGATCAAATCATTTCTCCTTTCACGAAGACAGAGTAGTTCTGCAAGATGGTTCATCTTCTTGGCAGAAAATCATTAGTGGTGTCCCATAAGGCTCTATTTTGGGGAAAATCCTGTTCTTGATCTATGTAAACGACATCCCTGATCTGATCAAATCCACTGCTAAATTATTTTCTGATAACACTAAGCTATTTTTCTGATGACACTATTGCATCAATGACAAAGATGACTGCACATTACTTCAAAATAATTTAAATTCACTTTTGGCTTGGAGTTCATTATGGCTTTTAAAATTCAATTGTTGTGGTTAAAATTAGATACAGGTTGAAATACACTTCCAATCTAGATTGATTTTGCCTTGAGCGTGTTAAAGAACAAAGAGATTTGTGTATTCTAGTTTCATATGATTTATCTCTAAGATCACATATTTCTGATATCATAAGAAAGGCTAATCAAATGAATAGGTACGGTTAAATGTTGCTTTATAAATTTTATGCCCAAAAAGGTATAATGTATTTATTCATCAGTACTTGAATATGGGACTCTTATCTGAAACCCAAAACTACAAAGATATTGTTACTGCAATCAGTCCAGGAGAGGTACCTCAGCCTAGCTACAGATGAAATGAAACTACCATCCCATCAGTCAAGACACCAGCTTGCCAATCTGTATGAAGTATACAACATACTGAATGGCTACTATAAAATGAAAGTTTGTCACCTTCTCAAACAGGAGGACACTTGGTCATGAACACACGTTGATGAAACAACACTCAAAAAGGGTTGCAAGATCCAGCCTCTTTCCTCTGAGGGTGACAGAAAAGTAAAATTCCTTACGTAGTGATGTTGTGAATGCACCAATGCTAGCTATTTTCAAAAAGAAACTGGTGATCCTGCACTAGCTGAAGGACTTTCAACTAATTCCTAATAGTTTGAAAATTGTTCAGAAAAAGAAAAAATAATTGTTAGCTGTAGTTCTTATTCACCTTAAACCTTCCTCATTTCCCATGTACTCTATCCAAAGTATTGTCAAAATTCATCTGTAAAACCACATCTCTGTCACTTCAAACCTTTTCTTTGTCTGTGAGGACATTGTCCTACATTCAGTGTCATGTAGAAGACTGGACATAACATAGCAAACCAGCACCCTTTTCTTTGTATCTAAGGACATTTTTAATTTGGATGTGTGGTGTAATTAAAATTAGAAGTTGGTGAGCCAAGTTTGAATTCCTTTTGGGTTCATTACATTCACTTATGTGCCTATACTCTTGGAAAAGGTAGGGATCCATCAATCCTACCCAAAGCTATGAGTTGAATAGCAGGACAGACTGGGCCCTACAGTCTTGGTTGGCAAACAGTTTACAGCAGAAAGAAATGGCAGCCTTCTGCAGGAAAATCTTCTGCCTAGTCAGTCATGAACTAAAATAGACTTGATCACCCATGCATTTATCACATATGGTAACAAATAGCTTTTGGTAGGGTATCAAGAAATGTTATAGATTGTTTGAACATCCTTTCCATGTAGATCAAGCTTTCCTAACATTCCAACTAGTTCTTTATGTTGCACCCTATCAAATGCCTTTGTGTAATCTATGAAACATAGGTATTGATCTTTCTGCACTTCTATTGCTTGCTCTGATAGCATTTGGATCATGAAAATTGCTTGTCCCAGTGTCATGAACAAGGCCACATTGTTCTTGCCCTATTTCCAATTCTGCTACAATTTCTAATTCTGCTATGAGTTCTATTTGATAGAATCCAAATGATAAGTTTAGTTGTGTGTCTCATCAATCATATTTTCTGACAGAATTTGCATTCATTTTCACATAGTTTCTTTGGTTGTGCTCTAAATATTGATCTACCCAAATCCTCTGCTATTCTACCACTATATTTTGTTTATCACTTTTGTGACTTTATCAATTCCCAAATTGTCCAAGACTATCA